TTTGTACATTTGAGATGGAATTGGTTTTCGGAAATAAAATAGGGATGAGGATTAATATGATGAATGAAGTAAGAGAGAGGGTTAGGATTAGGCTTAGTGACTTGATCAGTTAGCATGAATGATGTCGTTATTACTTGCAGTTAGACAATGTGTTGTGACCAGAGTGACCTCTTTTCAATATTCTCTTAGAGAATGCCTTAGAATGATTTGTTCTTGTTCAGTATCATATCAAATAACCCTTTTGGCATTTTCGCAGGCACTGCAAGAGTGTTATTTTGTTTGGAGAATATGAAACATGGGATGGTTAAAATACATCTCACTTAGTAGGGTCATTGGCCGACATGAATAAAATTGAATTGAATGACTGTTATCGATGATGCAGTCAACGTTTTTGAAGTAAATTCACCTGAGGGAGTACTGAATGATAGTAATAGCAACCGAACCAATCGTAAATCATAATGATAACAATGAACAAAGACAATGATAAATGAGAGTAATAATGATAAGAATGAATGAACTTCATTAAAAAATCGATGGTGGATGATAATGATTTGATAAGATTGATAAATTACTGAATAAAGTTTAGGGCAGATGAGAAATATTGATAGTAGTAATAGTAATATGAACAGTACATAATGATAGTATGATCGGTATTGAGTTAGCAAGAATGCTTTAATTGAAGAGAAAATATATGATGCATTGTATTAAGGGGTTCTTCCGTCGAACAGTACAGAAGAATATGGAGTATTCGTGTCATAAAGAAAAATCGTGCAAAGTGGATCGAATCTCGCGAAACAGATGTCAAAGTTGTCGATTCGAGAAGTGTTTAAAGGCCGGCATGAGCAAGGAGTCGGTGAGACAAGACAGAAATCGTAAGCGAAAGGCGAAGGACGAGACGAAGTTCGTTCAGTTTATTAACGAATCAAATTATGAATACTTTCACTGGCGATTGAAATTTATTTACGCTCAAATATATATGACACGAATGAAGTGAAACTGATTTACATGATTCGTTATCTGTAAGCGTGATGTTTTATAGTGATTTGTTTATTCTGAGCGAGAACCACCCTGCTCTGTTTTAAATCGCTAAAATGATGCTACCAAATAAGATTAAAAACAGTTTTTCAGACCAACAACTTTTTAGTAAATTTTCAGAATACTGAAATGTAAATGGAAGGAATTTTCAGAGAGAAAGAGTTGGATGAAACAAGGAATATAATGGATTTACTGAAGGCGATCGTGCAGTCGGCCAAGAAAGCGTTTCCACTGGGAATTGAATTGCAAGACACCAACGACGCAGTGTCTAGGGCTAATACTTTTGTTGATGGTATTCCGGCATTCGAGAGGATTAACAAACGCGATATGCAGAAATTAATTTCGAACGGGTTGAAGGGTCTTTTGGTAAGTAGCGATGATTATCTTGTCTCGCTGAGATGGATATAATTTCAATGAGATGATTTGATGACTTATTGAAATTTCGTTTTGTTGATGAAACATTGTTAAGACACTTTAAAGTAGCGATATTTAGACGATGTTTGAGATGTTTATGATCGATGCATTTGTTATTTCGTTTTTGGGTTTACAACATTCTTCAGGATGGAATCAAAGAGTTATTCGCAAAATACATATTGGATTTGACCTGAATTTGAAAAAATTTTCAGACAATACGAGCTGCATTCACTAGCGATAGCTGCACGCCAATAGTTGGCAATCGGAGTGCAGAGGTTGAACGATTTAAAAACGGTATCGCGGATATTGTCCACGACGAGGAGGTGGCGCTTCTGATGGCCATTTGCATCGCACAGCCAAGTTGTCCTGATCTCGAGCAAGAATCTGCCGTTGAGGAGGTTTGTTCTATATTTTTGGTGATGAATAGTTTTTTGAGGAACTTTTAAGGATTGTTTTTAGAAATTAGAATGACTGATGAGACGACGTTGATTTTATGAATTTGGATTGTTTCAGGTGGCTACCGAGGTGATTCGATGTTTACAAACACAAATTGTGTTGAGGAACGAAAATAACCATCCAGCATTCAGTAGAGTCATCTTCAAAATGACCGATATAATGAAATGAAGTGATCAGGTCGATTAAACTGATCAAATTTGACTTTGATTTTACTTTAATGATGTGATCACAAAGATGCTCTCTTATTGTATAGATGTACATCATTCGTCGTTGTTATTGTTATTGATACATAAAACTGTCCGGTATATAGCACACTTATTTATGTTTGTTCGTT